GACTTATCTGAAAATCCATTGGTCCAACCAATATTTATTCGTAAATTTATTAAATTTTAGTAACTTAAATGACAATAATATTGATAGAACCTCTTTGATTCAGAATTTTTGTTCGAAAAAGTATGAGGCTTTATCTACATATGAAATATTAGCAAATTACTTTTGCCCAAATATTACAAATGTGCATTTAATCAATTCGTAATATGCTAAAAAGCAAAAAAAATATTAAACCATTTTGGATAACATTAACATTTACTGCTTATTAGTCTTCCCACCAATATGCTGTGTGTGCAGTTACGCGCGTTTATTAAATTATGTAAACAAACTCCAAATCTTGGCTTTGGCATTCCTAATATATAATGCCTGATTTGGAGCTATGTGATAGTGTTGGTGTTGTTGATATGTCTCGTAAAGGGCTAAATCATATTGGTCACATCAATAGACAGACCAGAGTTCTCGTTCTTGACAGTAACGACTTAAAGCGACTTGATGATCTCCCTCACTCTCGAGATTTACAACAGGTAACTGTATACGCGTGTAATTAATCGTACTTAAGCTTTCAGTGGCAAATAACAAGATTATCCAAATGCATGCCGTCTCTGCTCTTACAAATCTATCTCTTCTCAATCTGCCCAACAATGAAATAATTTCTATTGATGGTACTTCACTTTCAAAATGTGAATACTTTATAGGATTAAATTGCCTTACCAATTTGCGATGGCTTAATCTTTCATGCAATCGGATTAAGTACATTGAAAATTTGGAACACAACGTGAACCTGAAACATTTAGATTTATCTGAGAATCAAATAAGATCTCTCGGAAATCTATCTAAGCTAGTCCGCTTAAAGGTGCGCGATAAAATTTTAGTGATAAGTATAGACCTTGCTTTTGCATTTTAATAATATTTCTTCTCTGGAGTCTGCCCCTGACTATTTTCCTGAATCCATCGAGATACTTTCTTTAGCTGGCAATACTATAAAGGATTTTTCCGAAGTAAATCTTTTGTTTGGTTATTCTATTTTTTAGATTTTTCGTCTTGTTAACCTCAAGTGTCTGTCGCAGTTTTCTTTGAGGAAAAATCCATGCACCAACATGATGTATCTTTTAAACAGTCCTGTCTAGCTTTAGCTAAAGCAATATTGATATTTTATCGGCATGTGGAACTTATTTTTTTTAATGATGCCTGCTTATTTTCCTATTCACCATTTATTTCCTTATTTGGTTCATTTTAGTGAATATCGTCATTTTTTGGCAATGCTTTTCCCTTCTTTAAAAGAGGCAGATGGCTTACCGATTTCCCAAGAAGAAAGGTAGTCATATAGACATAGCCATAAATACATTTTTAGATATTATGCAAATAAAAATATGTGCAATAAATTGCTAGCAACCTTTCAAGGCGACGACGCTAATCAGTTTCTCCAACACCTGGTAGCCTCGGGAATTATCCATTCCATTGATAAAGTAGGTTATTGTTCTTCTTAATTTAATCATTATACATTTTCTAAGCATTTACCTGATATTTTCATGGGCTAGCAATTTAACTCTCAACTCATTTAATATCATAATTTAGATGTCCATGTTCTCGTTATACTCTATTCATTTTTACCTATTTCCTCAGTACAAAAATGTGTAGCCTGAAGTTCGTTTTTTCGTTCTCAAAGAAAATTCATAGCTATGTTTCTCCATCGAAACGTCTCATCCGGATAGAATAAAATAATTTAAGGACATGCATAGCTTCATTCTTAATTTATTCGAGTTATTCCTCAATGGTCATTAAGCAAGGATCATAATTTAGCCTCATTGTAACAAAACATCCTTGTGTGTATTATTTAACAAACAGTACTCTGTTTTGGAAGTTGTTTGACCTTGTTTTCGCGACTTGGTCATATTGGTAGCAAGACTTAGAGGAACGCACCTTGTCCTGAGTCAATTGTATGCATAATTATT